TTTTTTAATGACTGAATTCATTATTAGTAATGAGAAAGCTATTTATTGGTAGAAAGTGAAAAGATATCTACAAAATAATACTGACCATACCTTGATATTATTTGCAAAATTATGAATCCGATGTAAAATTCATGCTAAGAAAATTTCAAAGCAAATTGAAATAAAGACAGTATTTTATGATATAATCGACTTTTGTAGGGTCAGTGGATGTTAAAAATGGATATCAAATCACATTCATTACGTGAAAAAGTGTTAGCATGGATTGGATACAACTATTTTACGCAGAATCAGTTTTTACATCACGAAGAAGATTACGTAGATAATTGGCCTCGATCATTTGCTATTGGTATTTTTGGTGCACAAGTAGCTGATGTTCATTTTAACCGTTTATGGAATACTCTATTTGATTTTGAATTAATTTCTGGTGTTAAGGTTAGTCAATAATCCATTATTGTTAAAGTTGAAAATAAATTTATTTTTGTCTATTTCGTAAATTTTTAAAATATTTCATACATAAATGCCATTTATTCGTATTGTTTGTCATCAGTACTGGAAATTTAATTTAATTTGATTTTTGTAAAAATAAACCATTTTGATCGTTTGAGAATTTATTCATTTATTTTTGGCATTTTCTTCTTACTTACTATTGCCATATTTGAGTGCTTGACAAGCGAAAATAAGAAAAAACGAAAAATATTATAAACATTGCACAAATTATAAATACAGTTTCTAACTAAATTTAATTTAAAAATATTGAGGAATTGTCAATAATTTAAACAATTTAATGTATGCCTTTTAATTCTTCAATTTCTTATTTTAATAAAAAATTCGGTTAAGAATTTATTAAATTTTTGAAGTACTGAAAATGACTTTTTATTTTTTATTAAATTAATGCGAAAATGCAAAATCAGTTGAAATGGTTAATGACATTTTTTGTAATTTTATGCATATTTTTGATTAAAGGAAGCAGTTTATTAAAATTTGAATATTAATATGTGTTGTAGTTTGCTGAAATCAAAAACGCAATGAATGTGACTTATAATTGGTGGGGTAGTGCAAACGAAGCCACAATTTCCCAACGGATTTTTGATTTTGATGATTGGAATTCGATCATTTTAGCGATGTTTAGTCCATTTTATGTTACGGAAGAGAATTTTATCAGTTACTGGTGGAGACCAGATAATGTATGTTCTGTTTTATATTGTAATAATGGCTTAATAACTGGATTGAATTAGCTTAACTTTTAATTACTTTATATTATTTCCATTTCTGTTACTTTAGACTATTCTTAATTAATGGCAAAAGAAAATTATTAAAAATAAGCATACTTTTTAACCATTTTTAATCAATTTTATCTTTGAATTCTGTCATTTCGGAATTATTGTTACTTTAATATAAAAATAAATAATGAATTCAATTATATTAAATAGTTTGTTGAGCCATTTTAAATTCAGGTCTAATAATATTTTATTATAATTTATTCTATTCTCTCTGATTTCTTTTTTGACGCAAAAATATCATTTATTAATTCATAGTTAAGTAAATTATTTAAAATGTGTTTTTAATTCAAATTTTTTAATTTTCAATATCGCTACCAAATAATTGCTAAGAAGATGAGTAATAAATTAAATTTATTTTTTAATTTGGTACTTTTTGTTTTATTTTAGGGACAAATTGGTACTGAAAAGCCTTCTGAATTATCAATTTATGATTTAACTGGACGAATGCATCAGTCTACAAGACTTGTTTTGAATCGCGAGAGATGGCATGAATTTCCATTTTATCAAAAACCCTTTCGACCATATCGAATTCGAAAAGATTTGACAATTATGCCAGGAGCAACGCTAACTATTGAAAAGGGCGTTGAGGTTAGTGATATGATATTATCTGATGTGAAATTTATTCATTACGGTTCATTTATATTTTTAATGGAATTTAATTTCATCAAAAGTAATACGCAAATAATTTTTTTTGTGCTGAATTTTTGTGAAAATATATAATTAAGCTGTAGTTGTAAATTAGACTCATTTGGGAATTATTTGTTCTGTTACATTGCAACAGCGGAGTAGCACAACATAAAGTATGTGAAGTACATTTCCAATGATAAGATAAAAGATTTGATATCTTTTGGTACATTACTTATGATAGGTAATATAGTATTAAGGTAGGTAATATAGTATGGCTCTTATGGAATTCTTTCTTGAAAGTTATTATTATCAAAAATTGAAACCAAATTGAATTATATAATTGTGTTTTGAAAATTAGAATTTGACAATTAATCTTGCGATGTTCTGATTTCACAAATTTACCTGTCTGATCACCACTTTAGAATTTGAATTACTAGAACTGATAGTTCAAGTAATTCATAAGTCGCTAGTTCCAATTATTTTTCAACAAACATTAATAATTGAAGTAATCGTTTTCTACTGAATTTTGAGACAAATATTTTCAGTAGAACTAAAATTTGTAGATTCATGTATGGCCAAACGTGCGTATTCTCGTACTGGGTAATTTGAAAGCAGAAGGAACGTATTGGGAACCAATACGTTTTAAACCAATTAACGTAACAGAATATATGGAACAGCGTGGTGATTCTAATTCTCTAATTACGAATAATAACATCTCAGTTGAATGCATGAATGGATCAGATGCACTGTGTCGACTGAAAGTTAAGCGTCAAGCTAATTGGTAATTATTTAATTCAATATCAGTAATTTAAAAATTTTGTAACTGAAACTGAAATCCAAAATATTCCGTCTTGTTGATATGTTTATTAATGTACTCTGTTTATTCTGAAGTTTTACTTTTTATTATTAATTGTTGTCACATTTGATATAACCATTGATGTAACTAATTAATGAGTTGGTTAATTTGAATATGACATAAAAATTTTGATAGAAATAAAATTTTAATGGTAGTATCTTCAATATATCATATAGTTTATTGCGAATTTCAATTTAATTTTCAAAATTTCCATCTAGTGATTATTCAATTTAATTGCATTTTTTAGAATAGCAAATGATTTCATTTTTGAATTGAGCATGTGCAATTTTTTTTAAATTTATAGTATTCGAAACCCAATCTGCGACATTATAATAATTTTTAAAAATTTCGAGCTAAATAATTCACATATGTTTAATGCAATAAATATGAAGATTCTAAGGGATAAATTAAATTCTGATGAGATTCCAAGGGATAAATTTAAAGGGCGGGACAAGATGCTATTTATCATCAATTTCCATCTTTGAACCGGAATGATCCTTATTACCAAAGCTTCGAGGTACGATTAAATAGTACTGTACCAAAAGTTGGTTTTCTGGAATTTTTTAATATCACTACTGGTCAGTGGATACCATCTTGTGATCGTGAATTTACTCTAAGGAATGCACAGGTCGAAAATTTTCATTATAAGATTAATAAGCTTCCAATGAGAACAATTTATTAAATGAAAATAATATATTTCAATTTTGAATATTAGTTTTCAAAAAATTTGCACAGCAATAAAAAATTTTTAGGTAGTATGTCGTGAACTTGGTTTTGGCGATAGAAATGTTTATGAATGGCTGACACCACGATGGGATTATAATCCAAAAATAAATATTTTAAAAACTTATGTTATGCCTCGACAATGTTCAGGTACTGAGTCGAGATTAGATCAGTGCGCAGTTCGATTAACAGATAACTTAAACAAATGGCAGTGTGTAGATAGTGAACATTTTAACTTTATTCACTGTGGTGAACAAACTATCCTAAATAAGTAAGTCGATGTAACAAATAAGTTAAATTACATTTTATCACTATACTTTTTAAAAAAAGTGAAATTAACAAATTGAAATAAAAGCTTTGATTTTTTTTAAATCTATGAAATTGATTAAATTAGGTTTTAAATTTATTTATTTTGTCTCTGTAATTGATAAGTTATTTATTATCAAATGAAATATAAGTAAACTGATTAATTTAGTATGTTCTAAGTTATACTCTGGCAAATGTAATGAATTTAATTTAGCATTTATGTTGAAGTTGTGAGTAGTATTTTAACAATTTATCATTTTTGTATTTGAAAAACTAAGTAATCATTGGTGCAAAACAACTGTTTTTGTCAAAAAAATAATTGAACAATGATTTGAAATACAGTAAAATAAAATGAAATATTACTGGAACTTTCATATAATATTGTAATTATTACTTTTATGAATTTTCAGCAATTATATTGGCAACTGGGGCGGTATTACTATCGGACATGATACTGTTGATTACGGGCTCATCACTACAAATACAGGTAAATAATTTGCATATTTTCAATTAAATTTGGTTTTGAATCCCAATTTAATGTAAAATAAAAGTAGTTTTGCAATAAATAGTAATTAATATGAGGATGAAGAAGATTTGAAAATACAAAATATGCTATGTAAATTATCGATAAAATAAAGCGTAATCATTTTTTTAAATAAAAATATAAAAGTAAGTTGGGTTATTATCATTTTATCAGTAATATTAGATGAAATGGTACTTTTATGTTTTCAGAATTTATGCATTTTTCTGTTACGATTAAAACTGTTAATTGAATTATATTCGTTACTTCATACTTTGGCCTTTTTTTGCAGTACAAACTAAATTCATTTTAATTATCAATTTTTATTTTTTGTCATATTAGCATTAGCATTTTGTACATTAGGAAGACAGATATTCTGCGCAAATTATTAGCATAATTGTAGAAGAATCGATTCTACGAAATGTGGAAATTGTTGGTGCAGGCTTGGTTCATAATGAGACGACTGATGTCGCTGCGCTTCTAACTGTTCGTCGGAATCCAGTATTTGATCATGTTAATATTACAAATTCTTCAATGCATGGCTTGCAGGTTAAATTCATATCTATTCATTTGACATCATTTGACCTGATGATCGCTTTGTTAATTTTTTTGTATTTATCAATTGATTCATTTTTTTTAATATTAATTTATGTGCTTACATTGTAAGTTTATTATGCTGATTACCATTATCGTTGTTATTTATTATTATTATTGTTATTATTATTATTATTACTATTATTATTATTATTATTTCATTTTTATTCTTATCCTTTTCTCCATATGGCAATCATATTGAACTGAATCATAGTGTTTCAAATTCATTAAGTGAAGATGAAACCAATGAAAATGAATATAATAATAATTAATAATAATAATAATCAATTTAGCAATCAAGTGATATCCATCAGTTTCCAGATACTTTGCCCTCATGGAGATGTGATCATAAATAAACTGAATGTGACCCACAATCGTGGTCGAGGTTTGAGTTTTTGGTTATCAAATTCACAAGGAACCAGGGGAACTTCAAGTAATACTTATTTTATTACTTATTATTAACTATAATTAATGTTGTTAACTATTATTATTATTATTATTACTATTATTATTACTGCTTTAGTTTTTATCTTCAATAAATTTTATTTGTTTCATTTCGGCTTAATTTTAAATTTTTTTGGAAATCAATTGATCCTTTTTTTAATTAATTAATTTACTTTTGGATAACAATTATAATTAGCACTGTTATTAATACTGAAACGATTATTGTTAATGTTATAACTACTCTTACTATACCTTATTCTTTATCGTTATTATGATTTATGTAATTTTATTTTTTTTAAAAAGTGAAAAATTGAAGAAAAATGGCGGATACTTATTTTTCCTACAAAATTAAATCTTTTTATCATACCAATTTATTATTGATTTTTTTCCTAATATATATATTATTGCAAATTATATATAAATATTATTGTAATTATTAATTAATATAAATATTGTTGCAATAATTAACCTCTACAAGAAAAGTGGGGAAAAGTTTGATCAAAATTGAAAATTAAAAAAGTAAATGAAATATTCGAAATTAAATATTTTCAGCAGTTGTTCACGGCGATATGAATATAATTCCATACAATGCTCCGGGATTATTGGATATTTGCGCGGCTCAAAAATATTTCAAATTGAAAAATCGAATAATTATATATTATAAATACGATTCAAATTCTGTTGACTGCGTTAAAATTGTTTCTTCATCAAAGCAAAATATCGCATTCCGTTTTCTTCTGGTAATATAAACTCTTTTCTAATGTTTGCTTTCTACTTTTTTACTTAAAAACTTGTAATTTGCCATAGATAAAGCAATTACATTATTAAATTAATAATTTTCAAATAATTATTCAAATTCGTTGCTAAATAGAAATGAAATGAAATTGAATTATTGTTATTATTAAGCATTTTTGCATGAAAGTTTCTGTATTATTGAATATAACAATAAAAGTTGGTAGCATTTATATAAATATTATTAATTAGTATAGTTTAAACGTCGAATAAAGTTCTGATTTTGATAATTTTTATTACGGTAATATAACTGTAAAAGAAGTTATTTACAAAGATAAAAATCGAATAAAATAGACTTCCTGCGCATAAATCTAATCTTTTGGGCAGAAAAATTTAGATTTAAAGAGCTAATTAAAACAAAAACTTAAAATTTTAGAGGTCTTTAAATGCTGTTTATGATTAAAAATACTCTTGCTTTGTATGCTTATCACTGCTTACCTTTTATCATACTGTACTGAATTACCGTATTCAAAACTGATTTGATAGTTAGTGTTGTTCTGACTTTACGTGCAATTTTTATTTTGAAAAAATTTCAAATTTTTATCAAAAAATAATGAAATAAACTAGAATGTAATGATATTAGATGTAATCATAGGTAAATCTATACGATAATTCTGGTAATAAATTTGGTCGATTAGATTCAATAACACTTTATAATGATCTACAATTTACTCAAATTATTCATCGCTTTACTTCCCAAACAACGGATTGGTCAGTAAACATTCAAGCTGAATCTTTATTAGCTATTCATGTCAGTGCTAATGCAGCTAATGGTGTATATGGTTTTATAGCAGAAATCGCTATCACTCCGAAATCAACACAAACAAGTAAAATATTTAAATACTGTCACATTAACATATATCAAAAGTGGTTTATTACAGTAATTAAATACTTTTGTATATACAGTATTTATCTTAATCTGTTTTAGTCTTTTAATTTATCAAATTTGCAAATTTTTATAAGTATGAAATCTGTAATTTTTCTGTATTACTAAATAAAGACTGATATGAAAATACTACATTTTATAATTTTACAAATATATTTTGAATTATCAGTTTTTATTTGTTTAAAAAATTCAAGAAAAAAAACATTTTTATGCGTAGAAAGAAATATATTTTGTATTTAAAAACTGTTTATACAGGTATTAATTTGTAATAATTCAGAATTAGTGGACGAAGTCTTAATACGACATAGTCGAATTGATAAAAATGATCGTGGTGCAATTACTTATCGTAATACAGGTGATATTGGACCAAATCTCGCAATAATTAACTGTCGAATACAAAAAAATGGTTATCATTTATATGGCAATATTAGTACAGCAAATCATGCAGTTCGTTTGCATTTCCATAACACAATGGTAATTTTATTATAATTTGAATTTTGTGCATAAGTTTTTCATCTAAATAATTTTGTAAACTAGAAATACCATAATAAATTATTCAAAGTAAATTGATTAATAATTTAATAATTATTTTCTGATTTTTAGTGATAATATATTAATAATAATAATCTTTTTGATATTTGTAAAGTTTTTACAGATTGCTCATTTACGTAATAATTTATTGATGCATAATAATGGTGGCTTAGAAATGACCGCTTTAACAACAAGTCCAATAGCCAGACTAACTGTTGTAATTCGTGAATGTGCATTTATGCATAACAGTAATGGGGCAGTTCTTGCTTTTTTGGGTAATGGTAACCAGGTTAGTTTTTTTTTTATGGGTTGACTCTTTGACTCATTCCAAAGTTACTACAGTCTATGACATTCCTAAATACATCAACCTAGAATCTAATAAATAAGTAATAAGCTGTCAATACTATATGTTTACTATATGTAACATAAAAAAAATAAAAATTATTTATTAGATTCCTTTTGAATTGAGATTATATTTGAAGTGTTTGACTTAGTGATTCAAGAATAATTAAATTATACTCAAGATTTATTAACACAGTTTTATATAATCTTAGAAAAAAACATTAAAAACGACAGTGGCTGATTATTACCAGACTTCGTACTTAAATTTAAAAGTAATTATCTACAAATTTACTTTAGTACTGAATTATTTTCACCTTTACAAACACTTTAATGTTATGTAAGAATTTAATAAAAATGGAGTGATCAGTTTAGAAAGGATTTGAATTTCTCTCAATTCATATCATATCCTACTAATCTAAAGAAGCCAAAAACACTTCACATAATTTTGTTTATTTATAATTTCGTTTTCATCAAAGTTTGCTAAGTAATGAGTTTTACAGAAGTTATGGATGTTCAATAACATAATTCGGAATAATTATGCTTCTTATCATGACACGATTCTGCTAAAAGGTATTAATGGAAATTTGACGCATAATCTTATTGTTAACAATACTGGTCTACATAATCTTGACTTGCAAGCAAATTTGCCTACTTCAGCAGATTCCTATTATTTATATAAAAATTGGTTCTATGATAATATTGCTTTTGGACATGGCTATCAATATCAGGTTTGATTTAATCAATATCTGTGATATATCGAAAATTTTAGTTCACTAGTAAATGACATGTAGATTGTATTACACAATTAAATTATTTTTTAATTCATAACTACAACTTTATGATACATAGTTTAAGTATTACTTTGATTAATAATCATTTTGAGATGGTTAAACTGTAATGAAAGTTTCTAATCTATTCCTCTTGAATGTAGGAACAATATGGATATCAACCAGATCATTTACGAAATCTGTTTAAATCAAAATTTAAACGAGATATATTGATAAAAAAAGGAGTTAGTTTTGATTGGTGGAGTCATGTCGGAATGGATTCGATACGGTACCCAAGTACCATTTTTACTGGAATATCAAGTGGAATGTACCGCGGAAATGTATTCAACAATCCAAAAAATTCATATGAATTGGTAACAGGGAAAGCAATTAGGTTAGATTCTCAAATTAACGATGTATAAATTACTTTAGTAAATGATAATTTAATTAGTTTGTCAAAAAAGTGTTTAAAAATTTGTATAGAACTGATTGATTTCTTTGTTCAGCTCACGATTCAAAATTACTAAAGTATTTGAATTATTTAAAGCATGGAAGGACGGGCAGTTGATGCTGTAGAAAACTATTGGGGTTACCCAGGAACAGTTAGTGTCGCAAGTGGAAAAATCCGTGATTATCATGATTATGAATATTTAATTCGAGTGGATTATACTCCAGTTATTGAATCTAATACTTCACTCATTGAGGGTAATACTGTAAATGTAATTTTCATTTAGAGTAAAAAGTGATCAGTTAGTAATTATAATTTAAGATCCGTATAAATTTAACAAAGTCTAATACAAGATAATTCAAAACTTAGTGAATAACAACTAAACGGTTTAAGCTTAGAACTTGTCTTATGTGAAAGTAATACACTTATTATTTTCAAATTAATTTTTTAGATGTATTTTCTATACATCGCAGTAATTGCACAAATAACTGTCCGCAAACACTTGCAAAATAATAAGTATTATTTATATTTTTATGACTTCAATACTGTTTTACTAAACCTGATCTTAAAATTCTTGTTACTTGCAAACGATTAATCAAATGTTTAGAATAAATTCATACTCAAATATATATTTCAAATAAATTCACATTGACTAAATGCTGAAAAAAGTTTCATAGCGAAATATGCAATACCTTGATGACAAATTGTGTTACAGGTGATTGTCCTGCTGGATGGTTCCAACTTGGTACCGATGAATTTAAATCTTGTTTTATCTATATT